ATACTGTTGTGCTCCATTTAACTTTTAGCTATTGTTTTGTAATTTTTTTTTGCTTTCAGCAAGCCTTTAGGTTTTGCCTTGTCTTTTGACACTTTCAGTTTCTAGCTAGTGTTTTGCTATTTATGTCTTTTAGCTAAGCGTTAACTACTTTTAGCTAGTGTTTGGCTACTTTTAGTCACTGAAATGTATGATTACTAAGTTCAAGCCAGAGAACTTTGTCCTTTTAGCTTTTAGCTAGTGTTCAGCTTTGTATTGCTTTCACAGCTTAGTTTCATCAAAATCAATCATACAGATTTTCAAAGAAAATATCATTTCTAGTTTAGCTTTCATAATAAAAGGTTACATTRAAAGCCAAAAGGCAAAAAGAAGCTTGTGATATATTCCCCACTTCTTTGTTTGTTTGTCKGCTGTGTTAGTAAAATATCTCATGAACCACCAGGCAGGTTTAATGAAACTTTAAAAAAAAAAAAAAGAAAAATCATGCAGTGTAGCTGCCACAACCAACTTTCCCTTAACAAAAATGATTACATTGTTGTCAGTTTCATAAATTTTAAAATTTAGTGTAGTAGTAGCTAACCGTCAACCACAACACACATTTCAAAAAGATGCTGCAAAATATTGTTTTTTTTTAAACATGCCATTACCTGTTTGTCTGTTAAAACAATATTTAATTCATCAGGTAGTAATAAACCACTGGATGAATTTTAATGAAACTCTACGTCTGATACTTGGCTGTCCTGCCAATTCAATATGACCACCACAGTAAATTAAAACTAGCTAACACAAAAATGGCTTTACTTCAGTATACTTTACAAATAATGTCTCAAATTTGATGTGGTAGTTGTTGAGAGTCATGCCCAAAAAATTGTCTGAGCACTAACGGATCACTTAAGATCAAATTATTTCACATGAGACTATGCACATCATTAGTTTCAAGGTTTAGTTAAAATGAATGGAACGCCATAACTTTTCAACCAAAGATGATCTGAGTTCAAACATTTGTTCCACCTGGGCTGATGTGTACAAATGGCAGCATTACAGAAGGCTGAGGAGGCAGACCTGCTGCACCTTGTGAGATCGGCTCACACACTCACAGCCTTCAGCCTCTGTTGCATGTGGCCATGTGCACAAAGCTGAGTTTCCATCACAAAAGTGTAAAAGTGAAGACAGCTACCACGAATCCTGCCTAATGTGCATCTCTGACCTTTTACCATTTAAACTACAGCTCTTGCTCTTGTAACTGTCGAGTAGCTAAAAAGTTTCATTGTGATCACTTGAAAAACTCAAATCACAAACTGAATGCAAAATAGTTTAATTTATTCTTCTGCTAAAAAATTCATCAGAGCTCAGTTAGTGTGAACGTACAACTTCCTCATTTCATCATCTGCACTGAGCACAAACAGTAAAGTAAGGTTAGCAGCTTTGTTGCACACCTGGCTTCACCGAAGACACACAACTGTAATTAGGAGTCACTGTTAATGAAAGAATCACAGTGTTTAACGATGGGAAGTTTTGGAACATTGGTGTTAGTCTGGCTCATTTCTAACGATGGTTAGCTGAAATAAACAGAGCGGAGTCTGGCTTTTAATCCAAAATCTAGCTTTCAGTGTTTTAAAGTTTCGTTTCGATTAATTAAACTGTCAAACAAGGTCAGCTTGCATGAGACTGATAAGTGTACGTTAGGCATGTTTTCCTCRAAGCGTTGTTGTGAAGACTTGCTGAAGTGGGAGTATCAGAAACGGTAGGAGGTTCTTAAAGAGATAGAGGCCAATTTCAAGGAGTTAAAGGCCCTGTACACTATATTGTTTTAGACAATTTATACTGACTTATGAAAATTTCAACGACATCTATGTTGAAGATGGGGTTTAAAAAATAAACTGGAAGCCTCTTTTAGGTATGTACACAACATGTACATTAACATCTAAAAACTTGATCAGATATATAAGTTTATTAGTAATTTAGACATAAAAAATTGCATAAGTTGTCTGAAACATTACAGTGTGACAGGGTGTGACGGCCAAAAAAAAAAAAAAAAAAAAACCAGGCGCTGTTGCCAATTAATTGTGCTTCCTTTCAAGGTACTGAAAGGGGAGGAGCCAAGGTCACATGAATTTACCTGGAGTGGCTATGAGGAGCTTCCATTCCTTATAGCCTAGCCTAGCCTAGCATAGCCTAGCCTAGTCGGTGGGCTGTTTGTTTTGGTGCCAACGGCGTGTCGTTGTGAGGTCCGGTCTGAGCACGACTGTGGTGGAAGACATGTGTGACGCCATGGCTGTGGCCGTCATGCGGGAGTCATGGTGGAGGTCCTGTCTGAAGCCGATCCAGGTTTGATGCTCGGTGCATGACTCAGGGCCAGGTAGTGAGGCTGAGGCGCACACCAAGTTCGACAGCTTCGGGGAAAAGCCAGTGTGTCTGGGTTGCCGCCCATAAAATTCCTAAACTTTTTCTGTTAATAAACGCCTCTAAAGGGCTTAAATGGTAACTTGTGTTGTGTTCTCCCTTTCTTTGTTGCGGTCTTGTGAGCYGGGCTGWAACACAGGGGCTTTAGATAGACTATGATGCAAAGTCAAATTTAATTTTTATATGCAGCGTTTTCATTACAACTGAAGGTAACWTAKTTGATTGTAGCATAAAYGAAGCATGTGCCTGGAAAATACACAAGACTCCCTTTAAAGATTTAGCGTTCCTTCCTGCCACCTATCATGTTGGAGTTTGAAACTAAGATCACCATGTTGAGATAGAGTTATCTCCGTCAAACCTTTTAAATGTTGGTAAAAATGATTTCATGCAATTCTGTGAGCTCTCGTGAGATTTGTTAGCTCTCTTAATGCTGATCCTCAGTTACTACCACATCAAACTTTAACACACACACATGCTTGACACTGACAGGTAAGCAAATGTGTAGCTTTTGAAGTAATTATTATGGATAAGTCTCAGGTACCAATTTTTTGATTATTGTCTATAAAAGTGGTCTTCAGAGGCAGGCAATAATTAAACTGAAACACGTGATTTTGCAGCATCGTTAACATGTTTTTCCACATGGGGTCACATGTCAAAAACATGGTAAATGTATGCGTTTTTCTGTAAGAGGAAGCAAAAAATAAAAGATTATTAGAACATTTTTGATTAACTAGTTTTCATTAGGTTTATTCTAAATAATAACACATTAAATTGTTTAAAAAGTAATTATAAGTTAACATGCACATAAAACATTTTTTAAAGTTTTAGTTGTGTTTTATAACCTGCAGAGTATGTACCACATGATTTTTTAGTTTTTTTCAAATATTTTTACTGCTGGCCTGGTTCTGTAATCCAGTTTAAATATTTCATTGAGTCACTTTACATTTTGTTTCAAATATAATTAACATTTATCTGACACACGTTTATGAAGCAAACAAAATCCACCTCTACTCTAAAATACAGAAGTTCCTTCTAACAACAACCAAAAGAAGCCCTATTTACTCAGTTTTTCTTGCACTTCGTTAGCTGTCTAAGCTCAGGCTAACTCCCACTCTCAACCCCACACGGATCACTTCCTCACAGGGCTGGTCTGTCAGAAACAGCAGCTTCGTATCTCCTTTTCCTCTTAAACAGAAAGAAAAAACAAAAACAACTAACAAGCAAAGTTTGGCTGACGAGCGCATCGCAGAGCTCGGAACTTCCTGTCAAGTTGGAAGAAAGGAAGTTGTGGACAACATTTCCCCCCAGGGTCAATATGGGTTACATTCTCTTGTGCTAAATCATCCATCACATCCCTGGCAGCGTGGGACTGCACACGTCTGATGACGAGGTGCGTCCAAGTGTCTACAACCTAACATGCTGCTTTCACTCAGGGCCGTGTCAAAATGTTTAGTGAGTGCCGTGCTTTTCCAGTGGACCAATAACCTGGATGATTTACTGATCCCCTTCTGCTGGTTGAGTGTAAGAGCGGGAAGACGAAACACACAACAAAAAAAAAAAAAAACACAGGCGTGACCAGAGGTACTAACACATAAGAGGACAATCACAACAAGCCCTTTTCTTCAATACATCGCATGCGTTAATGTTTGCGGCGAGCGCGAGGAGAAAAAAAAAGTCTTATTCTTACCCTGCCTCCAAAACACCGTCGAATTAGCTTTATCAGCAGCTCGGCCATCGATCATGCTGACAGGCACGTAGGCGCCGTGAGCCCCGACAGAACCACTCACCTCGAGTGCAGGTGTTAGTCTTGGCTGATAGAAACTGAAACCTCTAATGTGCGTACAACAAGCAGCGGCTGAGCGTTCACAAATACGTCTCAAGTGGTCTGGATATTTAATCCAAACGTCTACAGAGCAGTTTAACCTGGAGTTCCAGCGAGGGAGAAAGCATGAACTCAACCCTTCAGCTTTTTATGTGTGTGTGTTTTATCACACGGGTCACATGCAGGCTAACTGCCCAGCTGTCAGGTCGCCCCATTGATCATTCCAGCAGCTCAGAGTGCAAAAGGTAATGAGAGGGTCTGAAATGCACAAAAGGTGGAAGGACAGTATGTGAAGCTGGGACGAGACAGGGAAGGAGAAAAACACAAAAAAGAAAAAAAAGGTGCTTGCTGACGATATAAACAAACATTTATCAATCTACAGGCCACACAACAATTTGCAAACACACTTCTAAAGCTGCACCTGCTCATTAGCGCCCATGGGTAAGAACAAAGATCACAGTTTTCCTTCACACCACCTCTCTGTTCTGTCTTGGCGCTCCGCACAACAAAACCTCCAGTCTACAGGAAACGGCAGCATGAGTGTCAGTGCGTTTTGTCGAGGCTTTCCCTCTTTATAACGTTGACTTCCAGATCATTCGTGTCTTGAGAGACGTGTTTGAAGGTAAGGAGGAGCAGCTCCTCTGAACGTACGTGGGGAAAAAAGAACAAAAGAAGGCAAGAAAAGCCAGTCTCCTCACACGGGTAGCTGGGAAGTAATGAGACAGATATAAATGGGGATGGAGTGATACCGGGAAGCGAGCAGACGCTCCTGCCTTACGTGGAAGGATGCTCTCTCCTCTCTGTCCAGGGGTTGGGTGACGAACATGTTGCCGCTGATGGGATCGATGTTGTAGATTCCGCTCGGCGGCTGATCGGCGCCCGCTCCGGTGATGCTGTAGCGGATGCCGACATCCTTGTCCTGATCTGAGCGGATCTGAGGAGAATTAGAGAAACGAGGTCAACACGGAAAGAGGAGGGGAAATCTGTTCTTTAGTCCCTGAGATCTCCAGTCTGCTCCCGCAGCTACAAGAAGTTTCAAAACTGCTCAGCTTGTGAGATAAACAGCCGAAAAGCAGTTGGAGATGTAAAGCCCTCCAGTTTGGGAGAAAACTGGGAGCACGTGGGGTGTTTGCTAAACAGATTAGGAGAACATTTCACCAGCAACACTTTTAAAACCTCCAGTCTGAATGTGGAAATAAAAGCCAGTTGATTCTGCTACAACTCAGTTTTCTCTTTGGGTCAGCCTCCCAGCAGACTGCCACTTCAGATGCCGACCTTCCAAGATTATGTAAAACTGATTCATGCTTTTATTCTCAGCTCTGTCTGACTGAAACTTATTACCTCAGATAGTCTGTTCCACCTTTAACACCACTGCTGGTAATTCATACTAAACTCAAACCCAGTGCTGAACCAAGTGGTGCATTTTATTTTGAACAGATTTCAGTGTTTAAGCCTGTTCAGTCAGATAAAAAAAATCAAACTGTTTTATTTTATTTTTTTGTCTGTGCTTTGCAGACTTTATTGAAGACAAACATGTGGCYGTCACTTTTCCTCCACTAGGATTCATATTTGTTAGGCTTCAAGGTTTCTGTTGCGTCACCAAATAATACAACATTAATCAGATTGAGCGCTGGCACTGAAAGTAGTGAAACTCATAAGTTGGCACACAAAGGCAGTCACCCTTTAGTAGCTTTTGTTAACTCGAAAAGGATTAAAAGCTTGGAGGCGTTTTATTTTTTTGGATACAGAAACTGCAACAGAGTAAAGAAAACAGTAAATGCTCCTGTGGAAGARCAGAACGCTCACTCAGTCCTTTTTCTGGGCACTGAGAATTTGAAAAACTAAAGGAATCGTTTCACATTTTGGAATGCAAGTTTGTTTTTCTTCTTTACTTAAATGAGATCCACTTCAATTTTATAAGTTACCTCAAAACTCCGGTTATCATAAACATTAAGAGGAAAACAGCTAGTTTGGCTAAAGGCATCAAAATCCAACAAAATAAAAATATTCAATTAACTACAAAACCTGAAAAAGTTCAAATCATTTYACACAAATAAAATAGTTAAAAACCATGCTTATTTCTTCATTGTGATAATCTTATAGTAGTAACCAAWGAGCTTTAATATTAACACTATTCTTTAGGCAATAAAATAGCAACATATTTCTTTTAATTTTTGAATCACAGCACAGAAAAGTAATTGTTTTTGTAATTTTGTACTTTTTGCTACTTTTAAATAAATTAGGAAAGGGGATGTTTGTTTAACCCAGAACAGGAGGTAGAGAAATGTTCATGTGAGCTTTACAAACTGACAATAGATATGCACGTTTAAATTAGACGCAGGCTGATCRGTTAAACAAACTAAACACAGATCAGTTGGTTGATTATTAATATTTTTTTTAAAACCACCTCTGATCAGATCTGAGCAAATGAACAGGATTCACAGACTCATCCCAGTGTTGTTACTAGAGGTGTCTTCAACTAAGGATTTTCATCGTCGAATCTGATTCGTCAGATTTTGCCGTTAGTCAACTAATAGTCGAATCATTTTTTTCCCCCTAGAGCACCATAAACGGGGATCCCCCACATACATATTCATCATACTCGGGTGTACTTCGCTCCGCGGAGGTCTGCGCGGACTACGCGGACCCGATGCAGATGTCCGCCGGGCTGATCCGTGCAGAGATCAATTTTTTTACGCCCGTGTCCACGGTGCGCACCGGCGAGTACTGTTTTGGATGCGACACCAAGCAGATAAATTTGAGAATTGGTGTCATTTGTGGACGAAATTGAGTCAAACTTTAAAGAGCGTCTCATGGAGGAGATTAGAAAACTTTATGATGCGTSAGTGAAGGAATATAAGGACTTTTAGCGAGCAACAAATTTGTTGGAGGAAATAGCTCAGGATCCTGGGTAAGGTAGATCTTTTCTTTTTTTATTTTGTTGTTTAAAGCTAAAATGCAAACTGTCTCTTCCTCCTCATCCTTGACATCATGACTGAAATTGCAAGAAGTTAAAGAATTTGTCAGGCGGTCAGTACGCTCGAGTATGAAGTGTCAAACATCCGCAGACAACGGGGAGTCCGCGTGGCTCATGGAATGTGCACATCACGCACGAGTATGAGCCATTTGCGACTTTTTTTCTGTTTCAAAGGAAAAACCTAAATCACTCAGATAAATAAATAAGCATGGTAGGTTTGCTGTATTTATTTATGTATTTATTCACTGGAACAAAATATAACGTTAGACAAGGTCACCATCACTGCGCACATCGAACATCAGAAAAGTGCACATAAAACAAGAATAAAAGTGTTTTTAAAACAACAATGAGTCAAAACGTGTCTTCTTTACAATATCTTGGCTTTAAAATATTTCTCAGTCGGGATATGAGTTGGCTAAACAAAACAGCCGACAGACACTGTGCAAAATGTCAAAAATATCTTTAAATAAAACATGCCTGACTGAAAATATAAAAACAATTAGCCAACAACAAAAAAAATTATAAAATTAAAGTAAGGGTCAAGTAAAKGGGTTTAAAAAACAAACAAATAAAATACTTTCTGAGACGCACGCGTGCAGCCTCCAGCTTAAAATTACAATGGCCCAAAATCAGACAAGATTTGCAAAAAGAAAAACTCTTTCATAACATACGGAAAGCCCATGTTCTACTGCTCCTGTGATCCTATGATTTTTCTTAAGATGTGAGCCAGAAAAACCAACTTGTTCACGTTGGTCGGGAAAAGTGCGCTCCTCAGTTWATTTGCGATGAAACTTGCCTTAGAATATATCCTCTTGGATGGCGTGGAGGCAGAGGGCATGCTGTGAAATCTCCTAGCAGCTCTAGACAATTTCGGGTATCTCTCCTCGTTTTTCTGCCACCATTCCAGTGGACCTCCGCTTTATCTTTTTCAAAATACTCCCACACTTTGGAAGTTTTTTTAGTAGCCATCATGAGCCAATACACCAACAAATGCTGAAGCATGTTCAGCTCCGCCCATGTGGATTGTACCACTGCAGTGGGTGATTTATTAATGTGAAGTAAGGAAGAAGCTTATTGTTTAAATGCACACATAATTTCATTTTTTATTACCAGAAATTAGGATGATTTTGTTTGACAAAAATGAAAACAAAGACATTCAATGTAACAACTAATGCTTAGCAACCTTGGACACCCCCATGTAGTCAGAATGGTACAATCTTGACTACAAAATAACATTCGACCATGATGTTCATAGCCGAATCAGAGTCCTCCGAATSAAATAGTCGAATCAGCGATTCTTCCAGGTCACCCCAAGTTGTTACATCCAGCACTAGACGTCTGCCTCATTCAAAAAGCACTGACTGTGACGAGTGTGTCTTTCACGGTAGAGATAAGTTTTTGGTACGACACCAGCAGATCCCTAAAGAAGATGATCAAAGTATTATCCGAGTTTTTGAAGGAACTACGCCACTTCTGTTACAGTCTGTGCTTATTTTTCATTAATGACTTTGTCTTGTTTTGGGGCTGCGGTGGCTCAGCAGTCAGTAACCTGATTCAAATAATTAAATTAAAAGTCAGAATGTCACAAAAGTTCAGCAGAAGCCTGTCAATCACTTATTCCTTTCAGTCAGCTGTGTTGAAGCAGGAAAACACCTAAACCAAGCAGGACAGTGGGTCAGAAGGAACAAAACAAATACCTCTGCTGATTATACATTTTGGTATTTTGGTAATTCAGTCATGTTTTATTGTTTGTTGCAATATCATTGCCACTGGATGTTCTCCAGGCCTTTTGTCTAGCTCCTCACATCTTTACTACAGTCCTTTAGTAATCAACACACCTATTGTTATTCAGTGATTACCTCTCCCACTTATTTGGTTTTCTCAGTTTTACAGATATTACTTCCTGCCTGCCTGTGTTTGAGTCCTTTATCAACCACATACTGCTAGGACTATTAATTTCATTGACTGTCACACCCTGAAACACGTTTGAAAACCAAGGCTCATGGGCCAAATGTGGCCGGCCACAGCATTTTATCTGGCCCGCAACAGTTTCAAAGACGTATTAATGTCAAAGTAAGCGCATGCTGCTATCAAGTCAGTGTTAATCATAAACTGCATGTCCCATAATGCATGGCTMGTTTTCCCACAAAATGGCGGCATCCCACCACTGGTGCAGGGTTCAAAAGTAGCTGGCAGCTGGCCGAATTTGCCTTGTAAAATCTCCGTTTCATTGCATTTTCGCCAGGAAGTGGGAATTGCCTACTTACGAACTGTYCATTTAAACTGGACAACCACTCCAGTAGGAATTCTCTGTCAGAAAGGGGAAAGTTCAGAATCCAAGATGAGAACTACTCCCCATAACTCAACAGTGAGCAAAACTCTCTTACTTTTACTTTTAATAGTATTTCAGGATTATTCATTTCATATTTACACGTACACATAGTAATTCTCACTGTTTTTAAGAAATGTTGTTTCTGTGCACGAAATACCATGTATAGCTCAGTTACTGTTTGTCAGCTTTGCTCAGTCATAGCAATGAACAGAGGAACGTGATGTTTTGTGTTCAGTTGAAGTTAAACACAAAACATTGAAGGTTACACTTTGAGGGCCACCATGACGCTCATGTGACCATTGGTGAAAATCAGTGACACCCCTACCCTAAAGCGAAAGCACGCGCCCAAATTTTCATCATCCGGAGTTGTATTTTTTGAAGCCTAGTTAACTGTAAAGAGTATGAAGTAGTGTTGTAGTACTTGAAACCAGTCATGGTCTTTTGATGGTCTTGGTCTTGTCTCAGACTCAACAGCATTTGKACTCAGTCTTGTCTTGGTCTCTGACATTSAGGACTTGGAATTTTATTTCAAAACAAGTCAAGACCACAACTGTGGAAATTTAACTAAATAGCCAGATTATTGTCAAATTTAGGTCAATTTGAGGTCTAACTATGACGTCAATTA